AAGTGTTTTGACTGTTCCTTTAAGTATTTTAGAATTGGGCAGTGAAGTGTCCCTTTAATGCACTTTTTACTCTTTGGTTGAATTCCTTGAATATTCACTGAAGAACTTAAAGTACTGCAATGTTAGAAATACAAACTTATTTCTAACCACAGAGGTTACACTTGCATGCTTAGATTCAGGTAATCATAATATAAAGAATAAGTAGATACTTTAATTTTAACCTTCAAACCCATGCTGTGCCAGTCTCACCGGGGCTACCGTTTCTGCCTTGGCTAAGCTCATCATCTCTGATAAGCTTAGTCAACACAATGTTTCTTCATAAAGTAGCACTGGGAGCCTACCACTACAAATTGGAATACAGGGATCATTTAGTGTCCTCATGCAGAGCATGAAAATGCAAAATTCAGTCATGCACTAAAAAGTATCTATTAGCGGTTTGAGTGGCAGCCACTAGTAGATTTCTTAGGGACAAATGTAAACATTGCCTTTTCATAGGAAAGGTAGCATTTACAAATAAACGTCAGAGACAGCCTCTTCGAACCAAAACCACATTAAGCTGTAGGGGTTCTAATGCCAGGAATGCACTCTCTCCATATCAGTAATCAAACGATTTAAGAATTATTTGATAACTTAAGGACCACTGTAGTGGTATACATCCTCGTTTTCCTGGCACTAGTGCCCTGAGGGTGCCCCCACCCTCAGGGTCCCCCTCCCGCCGGGATGGATGGCGAGGAAAGGGGTTAAACTTACCTTTTTTCCAGCGCAGGGCGGGGAGCTTTCCTCCTCCTCTCCGCCTCCGATCCTACTCTTCAGCTGAACGCGCATGAGCGGCAGGAGCTGCTCGCGCATTCAGCCAGTCTCATAGGAAAGCATTTACAATGCTTTCCTATGGACGCTGGCGTCTTCTCACTGTGGTTTTCACAGTGAGAAGCATGCAAACGCCTCTAGCGGCTGTCAATGAGACAGCCACTAGAGGCTGGATTAACCCATTTATAAACAACTGCTATGTTTATAAAAAATAAAAAAAAAAAGGGGTTAAACCTAGAGAGACCTGGCACCCAGACCACTTCATTAAGCTGAAGTGGTCTGGGTGCCTAGAGTGGTCCTTTACCTTGGGTCCACCAAGAGCCCATCACTTCTGCAAGGAGCTTCCATCAACTCCACTGAGCTAAGCCCTGTTTTGCAGGGTAACCTAATGGGCTGAGAGCGTCAGCTGACAGTTCTCAACCAATAAGCGCCCCAATGCACCACCGAATCGCTGAGCTCAATACTTCAGGGGATAGCTCAGACTCCATGCCAGGGGACACCATCACCGCTATAGCAGGTTAGAATGTCACTTTATACAAGCTCTGTTTGTGCTTTTAAATGAACAACATTACAGAAATTCACACAGGAAGCACTGAGTTATGTTGAATAACATTCACAAAAGAAGGGTGCAGAAAGCAAAATACTACATTGACTTAGCTGGATATCCATAGCACCAAAAGCACTGCAGTGTCAATGCTCAAGTGGCCGCCATTTACTAGCAACGTTTATATAACTCTAACCACACCTCCCCTGGCTTTGACTCATACAGCCTCCAAATAAAAATTAAAAAAAAAATTCATTTTTACAGCACAATTTCTCCTGCTCTTTAAATCACACACGAAACTGCTGCAGGCTCTAGAAGGTAAGTAACACAACATGAGTTCTACATTAAAACACACTGTGCAAAAATGAATGTTAAAAAAAACAGACTTTTTCAGGAAGTGTGTAGAGTGGTTGAGTGCGTCTCAACCAGTGGATGGGTGGCTAGTGCTGGAAAAAAACAGTGTTTTACTCCTAAATAACATAAAATTCAGTAGGGAGACTGCCTGACACCATCTATTCACGGAAATGTATTGACTGCTCACACTAGGAGGGTGCCAGAGCACTGCTGCTGGAACTATTCCTTTAAAGCAGCTTTGCCCCTCCTCCCCCCTTCAGCTTATAAGTGATTCATAAACATAGAATATTTATAAAATACTCACATTGACTGTGTGGGAACTTCATTGAAATCCCATCCCACTCAAACAACATATCCTATACTTAACAAAAGGAGGAGTTGTTTTTTGTCAAGCTTGTCATTTCCCCTGCTGTCACCAGTGATGGCTGTAGGGAAAAGTTATTTCTCTGGAGGATCCAGTGGACTCCTCCATAGATCCCAGTGCTGTATTCACACATGTGAGCAAGAGTATAGTTCTGACCACAGCTCCATTGTAGTTGTGAAGTGCCAAGAGCAGAAAAAGATGCAGGAGAATCAAAGTGTCGGCGCCTAACATGGACAGGTAAGTAAATCTCACCTTTTACTGTTGCCACCAGACCCCCAGCGGTGATGTCACCATTGAGAGCCCAGACAGTGGCAGGGCCATTTTAACCATGGTATAACAAAAAGAGAGAAGTTGTATACAGCCTTTATTTAATTCAGACAGAAAAGCCCCTCACTGGCTTATGTACTAAAATGTAAATAGTATGGAAGTCAAAGTGAATTTCATATTTTAGGCAGAATACTCTAAACATGAAAAGGTAGTTGGCTTTGTTGTTTGTGTTTTTATTCAATTTAGGTATTTTGACATAAAATTTGGAATGCACTTTGAAATCCTGACAAATTCACAAATTATTTTTATTATATAGCGCCAACAAATTCCATGGCGCTTTAGAATGGGTGGACTAAAACATGTAAGTGCAAGCAGTTTGACAAATTAGTGAGAAATCCTGTCAGTGTGTAATAGTGTGATCTAATAAGTTATGTTGGAACATGCCCACTCCCAGGGAGCTCTGGCTGCATTTGCTGCTGGGGGGGGGGGAGCTCTGGCTCCATTTGCTGCTGGGTGGGGGGAGCTCTGGCTCCATTTGCTGCTGGGTGGGGGCTCTGGCATGCTGCTGGGTGGGGCTCTGCTCCATTGCTGCGGTGGGGGCTCTGGCTCCATTTGCTGCTGGGTGGGGGAGCTCTGGCTCCATTTGCTGCTGGGTGGGGGCTCTGGCTGCATTTGCTGCTGGGGAGGCTGGCTCTGCATTTGCTGCTGGGGGAGCTCTGGCTGCATTTGCTGCTGGGGGCTCTGGCTGCATTTGCTGCTGGGGGGGCTCTGGCTGCATTTGCTGCTGGGGGGGAGCTGGCTGGCTGCTGCATTTGCTGCTGGGGGAGCTCTGGCTGCTTTGCTGCTGGGGGCTCTGGCTGCATTTGCTGCTCTGGCTGGCTTCTGCTGCTGGGGGGAGCTCTGGCTGCATTTGCTGCTGGGGGAGCTCTGGCTGCATTTGCTGCTGGGAGCTCTGGCTGCATTTGCTGCTGGGGGGAGCTCTGGCTGCATTTGCTGCTGGGGGAGTTCTGGCTGCATTTGCTGCTGGGGGGTGCTGGCTGCATTTGCTGCTGGGGAGCTCTGGCTGCATTTGCTGCTGGGGGGCTCAGGCTGCATTTGCTGCTGGGGCTCTAGCTCTCTGGCTGCATTTTGCTGGGGGCTCTAGCTCTGGCTGCATTTGCTGCTGGGGGGGACTCTCTGGCTGCATTTGCTGGGGGCTCTAGCTCTCTGGCTGCATTTGCTGCTGGGGGCTCTAGCTCTCTGGCTGCATTTGCTGCTGGGGGCTCTAGCTCTCTGGCTGCATTTGCTGCTGGGGGCTCTAGCTCTCTGGCTGCATTTGCTGCTGGGGGGGCTCTAGCTCTCTGGCTGCATTTGCTGCTGGGGGCTCTAGCTCTCTGGCTGCATTTGCTGCTGGGGGGCTCTCTGGCTGCATTTGCTGGGGCTCTAGCTCTCTGGCTGCATTTGCTGCTGGGGGCTCTCTGGCTGCATTTGCTGCTGGGGGCTCTAGCTCTCTGGCTGTATTTGATGGGGGGGCTCTCTGGCTCTCGGCTCTGGCTGTATTTGCTGGGGGGAGGCTCTGGCTGTATTTGCTGGGGGAGGCTCTGGCTCTGGCTGTATTTGCTGGGGGAGGCTCTGGCTGGCTGCTATTTGCTGGGGGAGGCTCTGGCTGTATTTGCTGGGAGGGCTCTGGCTGTATTTGCTGGCTCTGGCTGTATTTGCTGGGGGAGGCTCTGGCTGTATTTGCTGGGGGGAGGCTCTGGCTGTATTTGCTGGGGAGGCTCTGGCTGTATTTGCTGGGGGAGGCTATTTGCTGGGAGGCTCTGCTGGCTGTATTTGCTGGGGAGGCTCTGGCTGTATTTGCTGGGGAGGCTCTGGCTGTTTGCTGGGGAGGCTCTGGCTGTATTTGCTGGGAGGCTCTGGCTGTATTTGCTGGGGGAGGCTCTGGCTGTATTTGCTGGGGGAGGCTCTGGCTGTGTGGCTGGGGAGGCTCTGGCTTGCTGTATTTGCTGGCTGGCTATTTGCTGGGGGGAGTATTTGCTGCTCTGGCTGTATTTGCTGGGGGAGGCTCTGGCTGTATTTGCTGGGGGAGGCTCTGGCTGTATTTGCTGGAGGGCTCTGGCTGTATTTGCTGGGGGCTATGGCTGTATTTGCTGGGGGGCTCTGGCTGTATTTGCTGGGGGGCTCTGGCTGTATTTGCTGGGGGGGAGGCTCTGGCTGTATTTGCTGGGGGGGCTCTAGCTCTCTGGCTGTATTATGTGGGATGGATATAACTCGGCCCCAGGCTCACCCCTCCATATCCCGCTCCGGTGCAGAGCTCTCAGGCCGCAATCAGTACCCCGAACCCGGAGACCAGAAACCAATGACCTGACGATCCCTTGACAGCCCAGTCTCAAGGAGGCCGCCATCTTCTCGTAGCCTTCACAGGACCCCGGAAAGGCTGCCCTCACTGTGCCTGACAGCTGGGCTGTGACTAGGACCCCAGAGAGGCTGCCCTCACTGTGCCTGACAGCTGGGCTGTGACTAGGACCCCAGAGAGGCTGCCCTCACTGTGCCTGACAGCTGGGCTGTGACTAGGACGGGGGGGAGGCTGCCCTCACTGTGCCTGACAGCTGGGCTGTGACTAGGACCCCAGAGAGGCTGCCCTCACTGTGCCTGACAGCTGAGCTGTGACTAGGACCCCAGAGAGGCTGCCCTCACTGTGCCTGACAGCTGGGCTGTGACTAGGACCCCAGAGAGAGGCTGCCCTCACTGTGCCTGATAGCTGGGCTGTGACTAGGACCCCAGAGAGAGGCTGCCCTCACTGTGCCTGACAGCTGGGCTGTGACTAGGACCCGGGGAGGAGGCTGCCCTCACTGTGCCTGACAGCTGGGCTGTGACTAGGACCCGGGGGGGAGGCTGCCCTCACTGTGCCTGACAGCTGGGCTGTGCTAGGACCCCAGAGAGGCTGCCCTCACTGTGCCTGACAGCTTACATGCTCAGTACGTCATCATGACGCGCCAGTGTCTAGCCAGGAGTGGTGTCGCCATATTTTTGCGTCACTGACTGGCCCCGCCCCTTTAGCAGGAGCACAGCTCTGACTGCAGCTTCAGGAGAAGGAGAGACCTGGGAGCCACATTACCAGACCCAGCCTAGCCCAGCCCAGCTGCCATAGCATTAACATGTAACATATACACTGTATCCAGACTCTCCACCTGAAACCAGAACCACAGCAAACAGAACCTGAACCAGGCTTAGAGGGACCCAGGCAGCAGCACAAACAGAACCAGGCTCAGAGGGACCCAGGCAGCAGCACAAACAGAACCAGGCTCAGGGGGACCCAGGCAGCAGCACAACCACAAACAGAACCGGACCCAGGCTCAGAGGGACCCAGGCTCAGAGGGGCACAAACAGAACCGGGCTCAGAGTGACCCTGGCAGCAGCACAACCACAAACAGAACCAGAGGGACCCAGGCAGCAGCCCCAGCAATCTGCCAGCATGTATTACTGCAATGGAGATAACTGCAACCAGACTGACAATGCCAAGGTATTCACTGTCTATTTATAATACTTCCTGTAATACACTGTGATTTATTATAAACTATAGCAGTCTTAGACAGCACCAATATAATGTACCAAGCACATACACTGGGTTATTCAACAGTGTTAACTGTCAGGACTTGGATTTTCTAATTCTAATGCCAAAATTAGGGGTTAGAAATATTAAGGGGCTCATTCACTAAGGAGCGGATTGTAGTTAGTTTTATAATGAATTGCATGGTTAAGGCTGAAACAAGCAAGCTGGAAATCTTTCCTGGTCTGCTTTTGTGGCCTCAGTTTTGCGTTCACGACAGTTCACTGTTTTTAATAAATAAACCACTGCATGGGCTAAAATGCAAAATTCACTTTAAATTCCAAGCAATTCACACTTTAGTGAATAAGTCTGATAATCTGTTTCACGCTGTTTAAAGACAACATTTGGGCACCATAGCAACTTCATCGGTATGAAGTTATGGTACGAAGAGGTTGCTGGTATGTGCTTTCCTGTAGATGTTAACCCCAAAGTCTTTAACCCCCCCCCCCCCCAGCTTTTAGCTCTGCTCCTCTCCTTCTACTTCTTTTAATAGGGAGTGTCGGCACCCCGTTTATAAAAAGGACTTGAGAAAAAATGGTACAATACTCAAGCTGTTTTGTGAATGATGAGCTACTGATTGGCTTAGGGTTCTCAGCCAATTTGCAGTGCATCCCTATCCGAGTCTTTTTGTTTAAAGAATCAGAGAGAAGTGAAAGGTCAGGGTCATTGTGCTGGATAAACAACTTTGGGGTTAAATTGTTTTATTTTGAAGAAATGAAAGCTAATAAATTAAAAATCAGCAGCATTCGCAGAATTCTGCACTTTGATCAACACTGCATATATATCCAAATCTAATCTTCTGTTGTTACTTGTAATTCAAGTTTACCAAATCAGGGTTCAGATGCAAAGTTCAGAATATAAATGCTATTCTTTCATCCACACTCATAACATGAGAATTCAATCACCTATACTATCTTGCTCAATTAATAAGGAATTGCAAGTTTTCTCTCTGATTGGAACAATTATGTAGTTCTGGTATAAAACGTGCAGATTCTTTTTCCATTATCCACGATTCAAAGCTTAGAGCAGGGGTGCACAAAAGATGTAGATCCTCAGATGTTGTAGAACTACAACTCCTACGATGCTTTGCATCACGGAAGCCGTGGTTTTAAAACATTGGGGATCTACCTTTTGGGCACCCCTGGCTTAGAGAATAGCTCCACTGGTGATGCTTATTAGTGATATTCCCACTAGCTTCAAGGCTGTTTTATGTGGTGTTCTAAAGTGAATGGTTAACATGACAGTATGATGAAAAAAATCTTCAGATCCCTGCTCACATTATTGATAGTACCATGATGAACCACGTGTTTGGGAAAACGTCCTTGTGACTTTGTAACTTACAAGTAACCGATTGGTGAGGGCAAAAAGTTACAATGAACAGAGGTCTTGTCTCCACATTCAGCATTTTTTTCCTGAACCAAATTTGTGCAGTATCCCACAACTCTTTATTGTAATCTTAAAATTGTGCTTGAAAAGTGACAGTAATTTGACATTTTGATTATAGGATAAGGGGCATCCAAGGAACTTGATCCCAGAGTTATGCAGACAGTTCTACCATTTGGGTTGGGTGACAGGAACTGGAGGAGGTATCAGTCTGAAGTATGGGTGAGTTATCTATTGTATCTATATAAATCTTTCAATAAATAAGCAGTGTCGAAATTGGATTACTGACTTTTTTGTATTAAGGTAACAGAAGTCCTGACATATTTGTGTTTGTCAAGTACTCTTCTGTTAAAGATGAACTGTCCACTATCTCAGTTTATTTGGGACTGCACAGGCAGTTATAACAGATTTAAGTGTTTGAGGTCCGCTGATCACTTGGTCACAACTAGGCTCTGTTTAGATGGCGATATCTATCTACTTTCCTCTCTGTTTTTATAGTACCGTTGAGGCTCCAAGTTAGCCTATTCATGCTATTTTAGTTGAGGAAATCTAACCTTATTTACAGGTGGCTCTGTCTGTAAATAGTTAGAGACATGCTGGTGTACAAAGCATGTTGCACAGTGTTACACTGTTCCTTTTTCTGCATATAATGTTCCCTTTTCTGCATATAGCTTTTTTGTATTTATCATTTTAGGGAGTTTTTATTTGGTTTTATGTTTATCAAGTATTTCTTTGGGTAGTTTTCCAAATGATCTATTTGTCTTGACGAAACTTCTTGTAGGTGCATAGATTAACCCCTTAAGGACCAAACTTCTGGAATAAAAGGGAATCATGACATGTCACACGTCATGTGTCTTTAAGGGGTTAAACAATACCTGTGGTTCAAGCTGTATAAAATAATTTTCTTTTGGTTAGATGTTTTCTTAAATACTAGGGTTTTATTACTGTCATAAATTATAACTTGGGTATATGAAATGTGGCAGTCATATCCGAAAACACCAAAATTATAACTCCCTCCCCCCTCTGTGTATACGTCATGGCATCTGCATAAATACATATTACATGACATTAAAGCTTTGGGGCTTACCACATTTTTAATTTTCCATCAAAGAAGTATTATAAAGGTAAACATGCAAGCAACAAAAAATTATAATGTACAAAGGAGAATGAAAGATCCATTTAAACTATAAAGGGCCTTTTCAATGTGTTGGAGCCTGAAGGTGTCAAACTAGAATTGCTTGTTTTGTTCCCCAGTCAGTTCAGAGAGTGGGCTGGACATACTTTGTCATTTCGGTAATGATCAAAGTAGCAGTCCCAGATGTGTAAGGAGAATGTGACAAAACAGATCGGGACAGCCTTACAGGCTACAGGCAACCTCTGGCACACTTTCTGTGGAACCTCGAATTTTTCAGTGAAACCAGGCAAACGACTGTCAGTATTCCTCCGGCCTCATAATAGGGAAACTATTCTGGTTTCTATTCATGACTGGCTTATAGAACAAATATATACAAGGACCACTATTTGCTTCCTGATCTTTATTGTACATTTCTTATATATAATCCCCATTATCTACGCAGAGTCTTGGCATTGCACCATGTTCGCTCAAAGTAAAATTGATACTGTTATAAACTCCATATTAAAGTGTATCATCTCTGCCAACTTAGGTCTCATTTTAATATTGTTTGAAAAGCATTTCTGGTTTATTATATATTGGATAAGCTTTTTAAATTATTTAATATTCTGCAAAATATTTTAATGTCATATTTTGATATATATATATATATATATCAAAATATGACATTAAATATATATATATATATTAGTGATGTCGCGAACGGTTCGCCGCGGACTCATCATTGAGTAAACTTTGACCCTGTACCTCACAGTCAGCAGACACATTCCAGCCAATCAGCAGCAGACCCTCCCTCCCAGACCCTCCCACCTCCTGGACAGCTCACTAAGAATGCAGCTTCACAATGAATGTAAAATGGATGCTGTCCAGGAGGTGGGAGGGAGGGTCTGCTGCTGATTGGCTGGAATGTGTCTGCTGACTGTGAGGTACAGGGTCAAAGTTTACTCAATGATGAGTCCGCGGCGAACCGTTCGTGACATCACTATATATGATATATTTTATTTCATATTTACATTTTTTTTTTTTTAAAGATTATCCAAAAATATGAAATAATGTAAAAAGCAAATACCAGAAATATTAAATCAATGCCTTATTCAGGTCAAATTAGGTTAGCACCTATTTATGTTTGACAGATTTGTGGACCCTTTAGGCAGGAAGCTATTGAGGTCCAGCACTGGAACAGTTTGTATGTGCATTCTGTAACTGTTTCACTAGAGGTCACTACACATTAAGTTTAAAACATTCTTTGAACTGAGCAGTTATTCATTGGCATTCATATAAGTATTTTATTTAATATGTGACAGTGTATTATGAGCTAGATATATGGGATGACTAGGCATCTTGTGATTTCGTAGTTTTGCAACAAGTAAATGCTAACATGTTGACTACTTCTGATCTATAATGTAATTAATCTGAATTTGTACCCCTGATCCAAAGTGTAGCCGTTCAGGAACAGAATGTAGAATGTTGCTACAATCACAATAGTTTACAGTCTAATAGTAACTTTTTGAATAAGAGTTCTGAAGATAATAATGGTTGCATTCTATGGGATAAGTGTATACTATGTTTCTTACTCATGGTTGCATTCTATGGGATAAGTGTATACTATGTTTCTTACTCATAGGGTTTTCATTTGGATGTTTATTACCATAGATCTAGACAATTTAGTCACTAAAATGGGAAATGTGGAGATTTCACAGGAGAATTACAGATGGAAAGTCAAATTTGCCACCAAGTTAGATTAAATGGAATGTCCACCATAACTGTTTTTGAGCTCTCTCTTCTGGTCTGCAGTTAGCGGTTTCCTTGTCAGTTCTCCTCTATTCATAGTTTAGTGAATTTATATTTCTAATTATGTAATCTGATTATTCTAATTTGTTTGGTTATCTTTTCTTTTCCCCCACCCATGTTTGCCAGGGACGAGATTTATATTGCACCTTCTGGGGTCCAAAAAGAAAGAATTCAGGTACGGAATTAATGGTTTCAAGATATTACTTCTTAAAGGGAAACTATAGTCACCAAAACAACATTTGCGTAATGAAGCTGCTTTTGGTGTATACATCATACTCCTACAGTCTCACTGCTCAATTCTCTGCCATTTAGGAGGTAAATCACTTTTGTTTCTGTCCGTCCAGCCTAGCGACACTTCCCTAACCTCCCCTGACTGTGACTCACACAGCCTGAATGAAAAAAAGTGGTTTCAATTTCAATCAGATGTCATTTACTTTAAAAGTTTTTTAATATAAAAAAATCAGGGTGCCTTACCTATCAATCCACACACACAGACCGCTGTTCCCACTGCTAAAAACCATGAGAGGGTGCTGCACCCGACTCTACCTTTCTTGGGAGTCTAAGACGCTGGTTTGCTACACTTGAGGCTTGCGGCCTACACGAGGCTGAGTCACGGGGAAGCGGCTGATCCCCGGGCTCATAAGCTATAGCTGAGACCCCTGCAAATCACTCTCTGTTGTAAAATTGTGCCTGTCTAATCCACTACCCCACTTGTCTTATATGTTGTTACACTGGAGGATTGCCGTCGGGGCAACTAAAGCACATTTGTACCATTCATATGCTCAGCAAAAAAAATTGAAAAAGTGTTTATATCTTGCTCTGCAGGTTCTAGCAAGCTATTAACAGCACAGGAGATTCAAATTTCAGTTAAACAGAATTTGCAATAAAGGAAGTGTAAACATTAGATCTCTCTTTACAGGAAGTCTTTAGGAAGGCTGTGCAAGTCGCATGCAAAAGATGTGTGACCAGGGCTGTATAAACAAACTGATTTAACTCCTAAATGGCAGATAAATGAGCAGTAGGATTGCAGTGGCATGATCTACAGTATAAACCAAAACTGCCTAATTCAGCTAAAGTTGTTTTGGTGACTATAGTGAGTGTCCCTTTAAGGTTTTGTTTGAGACAAGAGTAAAAGACTGTTATTTAAGTATTAAAAACAATATTTGCGGGAGACCCTGACCGGACTCCCACAACTGCCGCCACCACCACCACCACTCTGTTTACTCTCATCTCTCTAAAACTTTGCTGTGGATCGATGGATGGGCAGAAAGGGGGGGGGGTATATCTACATTGTAATGTTGTGGGTTTTTTATTTTTTTTATATATATATATATATATATATATATATATATATATATTCCTTTTAGGCTTTCAGGTTATGGTGCCTGGAATTAAAAAAAAAAAGGGGAATAAAACCCATTAAATGTTCTTTTATTCTCTTCCATCAGTGGCATAGTCTCATCACTGTGGTCCGATCATATTTTGGTGACGGCATCAGGACTTATGACTTTGGTACAATCAGCTGTATCTCATAGAGAAGCATTGAGGACACATGGCACATGAACAGCTATTGCCATGCTCTGCTCATCCAATTCCTCTCCATGATTGAAGAATTAAATACATATTATGTCCTACTTTTGCCAGTGATCATATCTTGTTAGAAACTATAAATAATTTTTATGCTAAATATTTTGTTTTTCCCACAGCCTGATGATTTGTTTATTTGTGACATTGATGAAAGAGACATCAGCTGTCCTCCTCCATATAAAAATCTGAAGAAAAGCCAGTGCACACCGCTTTTCATGAATGCTTATACCATGAGAGGTACATGTCCTTTCTAATCACTGAGACTGCATTACTGAACATGCAACCAATGTAGAAATAATATGCACATTCGTAATTAATGAACATTTAACAGTTTGTTTGTTTTTTGGAACTAACCATCTACCAAGCGTTGTGATACTGATTGATCCTTATACGTACAAGCTTTGTATATATGGTAAAAAAAATTATTTGTATTTAAATAAATACATATCTATATTTTTGTACTACTTTACTGCTTATACAGTGTATTGCAAGCATGCGCATAATACCCATCAGGGGTGAATTTCTACTTGCCAGGGCTAAATTTGTCCTTGCAAGTGGAAATTTTGAGCGCTATACATCACATTATACATGCCGTTAGCATTTGGACATTTGTTTATGGTCTGCACATTTTTATTTAAAGGAACACTATAGTCACCAGAACAACTGCAGCTAAATTTAATGGTTCTGGTGTCTACTGCCTGGCCCTGCATGCTTTTTAATATAAACACTGCATATTCAGAGAAAAGGCAGTGTTTAGTTTGAGTGACTGCCACAGGAGGGGTCCCTAGGCAGCAGATGGCCACTAGAGGTGCTTCCTGGGTCAGTGCTGCATATTTTTGACATGTTATGTGAGTGTTTGCAGCTGCAAACAATCTGCACAATATAATAGTTCTCATCTTTCCAGGGGCTGGTGCTGTGATACACACTCACTCGAAGGCAGCGGTTATGGCTACATTGCTTTTCCCAGGAAAGGAATTCCGGATTACACACCAGGAAATGATTAAAGGGATTAAGAAATCCACTTCTGGGGGCTATTACAGGTACGACCCAATCTCTTTCTAGCTGTGTACTTTTCCAAAATGTTCATAATTGATATCTGCATAGAACGTCCTTTGTATAGTCTTGGTAATAATACTAGCACAGTAGCACTGTCTTTGTTGGGGTCTACACACCCAAAATGAGGAGATCTGCACTTACTTTCTCGATGCTCTGCTCATCCACATTTTTGTTCTGCTGTCCCTTTGTCTCCTGGTGGCTTTATTTGCTAGAAGCTACATCACTGGTGCACTCTCTCAGGTGTGGGAGAAGACAAAAACGGTGATCGATTCTATGGCTCTTTGATCAGTTAGACACATGTACACCCGTTAGTCGTCTGGAGGGACAACTGAGGGGAAATGGCAAGATGCAGCAGATGGAAGATACTTGATCCCCTGCTTTCTCCCATCTCCCCAAAGATTGGCCTCTTCATACCATATAATGATCCTGACTTCCTCATGATCCCTTTTATTCACATTGAAATCTCAGTGAAATTGTATCTGTTTGTTTTATTTTTATAATTTTGGGTTATATGTATGCTTGTTTATATTTTTGTGGACATATGAAGAACATTCTAATAATCCTGATTTTAAATTATTTCTGCCAGATATGATGATTTGTTAGTGGTACCCATTGTGGAGAACACTCCAGAAGAGAAAGACCTGAAAGATCGTATGGCACGAGCAATGATCGAATATCCCGACTCCAGTGCTGTTCTTGTACGCCGCCACGGGGTCTATGTCTGGGGAGACACCTGGGAGAAAGCAAAAACAATGTAAGCATTTTCATAGTGGGTACTACACTATTTCTTAATGTTTACATAGATTAAAATAAAATAAGATGATTATCACCTCAAAGCAACACAATCAAAAATTTAATAATATATCTAAATTAAAGGTACCTATGGAAGCTGAATTACTCTGCAAAATTGGTGTTTATTTTTGTGTATGGATGATTCACTGTAAAAACTTTCCGTTATTAGATTGTAATTTACCATCAAAACCTGTGTGTTTGTTTTGAATTCTAGTTTATTGATTATTTTTTTTTTAAGATTATGTATAAAAAAGATTAAAAAAAGAGGCTTATTGCAAAGTAATGCCAAAAACAAGGACATTTATGATGAAAAATTGATCCAAAGATGAACCTTAAAGCGACACTAAAGACATCCAGATAAGTTTATCTCAAAGAGGTGCTCTGGGTGCAGTGTGCCTCTTTAAAATTAGCAATGTAAACAAACACCAGTGGCACTTTTAGTGCACTGACGAACTCTGTCACGTGATGCGGAAGCTCATAGAAAAGCCTTAATTACAATGCTTTCCTATGGGGAAGCTCGCATGTACATCTGGTCCACAATGCTACTCTTTGTAGATCATTAGATTGGACCATGTCCAGAGAATACCATGCCTCATCGATGATGTCACAGGAGGTGAGTAGCGCAGAGGGAGCCTTATTGTAAGAGCTCTTACAACAGGTTTATCAAATACACTTAAGTTCATTTAGCACTAGCATTATTTAATTTGATTCCTATGTTAAAATTCGTGTAGGATCCACCAATATTGGAGTACTGTGGCGTAGTGTCAGGCTGAACACGATATGACTATATCGTGGAATTTAATCCACATTTGTTTGCTGTGATAGGTGATGTAGATCTGTATGTTTGTGTGCGATGTTACTGTAAATTGACCATGTAAAGTCAGAATACAGTGTATATGAATAAACTTCATCACATCGATCAGCCTGTAAAGAAATGGTTATGCTGCCATTTCCCGTAATCTCAATCTCCCCTTTCTCTCTTCAAGGTGTGAGTGCTATGACTACCTGTTTGATATCGCTGTGGAAATGAAACAACATGGCCTGGACCCTTCAGCTCTCCCTGGTGAAGAAAAAGGAATAGTTTAATGCCTTCAACCTTGATCAAAGCAATTTTACCATGATACGTAATCCTTGAGCTAACAGAACTTTTGTACAGAGGAGTGAGAAAAATTTCACTCTCTGCATATTTGTTAGCCGTCTCTCCTCATTCATCCATCGGTGATATCCTCATTGGTTTTATGCTCTCCGTATTAATGATCTAAACACGTACAGACCCGTTGATGTAGCACTATTGGTCGGTTATTAACAAACTATGCGCACATAGTTGAGTCCCTCAAATGCTTATAATTATAATTTTTTTAATTTTTTATTTTTTATTTGTAAGTAGAGATCAGATTGTCATAAATGCTGTGATACGTTTCCTTGGGTAGACTTTTACAATAGCTATCTAAGGCAGTATGGGGAAAACATACCCGTTCTGCATTATCTGTTGCTCAGCTTCCTATAACATGATCTACCTCAAGCTGGGGGATTCTTACAGTGTTCTTTAAATTCAGCACATATTTAAGTGAAGTACATAGCACAGTGCACCCCATGTTTGAGGATTATGCTAGACTCGTATGTCTGCAACAGTTTTAGCAACCTAATGAGCTGGAATATGGCTAAATCAGAATGTGCAGTTAAACAGAATTATAGTGTTTGACTCTTAGATTTTCATATGACCATTTGTCTTTTCTGCCGAAAAATACAAATGCCTTATTGGCCAAAAATATGCCAACCACTAGGGTTTTGAGCAGCAAAATTAAGCACAATATGACTAATGCTGAGCATTTATATATTGACGAAGCTGGCGATTGATTTACTGCCCTGTTGTCTTGGAATAATCATTGGTGTTGTACACTTTTTAGCAGTGTGATGTTGTTGAATGCATGATGGGTTGAATTATCTTAATATATAATTATCTGTTGTCTCCTATTGTTATTAAACAAAACATCACAAATCACTACCTTTTGTCTTCTAGCGTTTTTTTGCACCTTGATACGGTTAAATGAGGCACCCTAGGTACATTTGAAAGCAGGTCTGTCACTTCGAAGTATTTCATAAAGCTATATTTTTTTATGAAATACTTACATTCACGACATTGGAATTTCAGTGAAATTATTTGTCTTGTGAGCAAGTCTGAGGTTGACAAAAGGCATGGGTGCGCTGTCAACGATTGTCTGATTCCAGTCATTGTCACAGTTGTCAGCTGGAGGAATTGGGCATTGTCTCATGCTCCAAACATCTCTTGTGCAATCTTTAGATGGTACGTTTGTTTCACTTCACTTACCGTTCCTGTATGTCACGCGTGTTTTCTTAGAATTAAACGTTTGTCCTGTTCCGCTATATGAATCATTGTAATTGTGCGAGAGTACAGAACTAGTGAAGCTGCTGGCATATGAAGCTCCAGAAGATGAAGAAAGATCTCTGGGGAAAAAGATGGCAGCCACTGCAAAGGACCGTGTCAAGCAATCCCCAGCTTTTACACCCCTAGCAGAAATATCACCATCGGGGGGTCGTCTTTGCAAGATATGCAAAGATCCTAAAAGTGACAGATCCACTTTGAATGCAATGTGTAGGTTAGGCAGGTGGGTTTATTATTACACAAATATTTTTTTTAGCTTTATGCACGCACCCTGTTTGCTATTAACTCTCAATCTGCAGTTTGTAGTGCTTGTTGGTTTTGTACCGTAAAAAAGCTGACTGTTAAACTACAACTTCCAGAAAGCCTTATACATATAGACGGATATCTTCCTCATAATTTCAGGCCACAGGACCCCATAACTTAAAGAAACACTTTAGTGTTGAGAATATAAAGATGTATTCTTAACACTATTGTGTTCCTCTGCCCTCACATCCCCCCTAAGCTTTGTAAAGGGTTAAGTAACGTTTTCTTCACTTTCTCGATTCCAGCGCCAATGTCTCTCAATGCTGGGCTGTGCACCTAAGAAGAAAAAAAAAACAAAACCCTACGCCAGACCACTGAAAGGCACCGAAAGAATTATGGGACAAATGTTTAATGACACTAATAAAATGTAGCTTTTATTGGATATATAAATATAGTCAAAGACACTCTGTATTTAAATACAGACGTGAACCGCAATGCTTTCCTATGGGGTTTCCTTGATGTTGGATGCCCTCATGCAGAGTTAAACTTTGTGAAACTCCAGGAATCACGTCTGGTGTCTGTTTGGTAGGCAGCCACTAGAGGCAGTCTTAGAACTGCAATGTTTTACACTCCACCAATGAGATGAATTGGTCGGGCTGCTTGTAGTTTCCCTTTAATACTTTATCCTCTGAAGCTCTATTCACGTTGTAGTTCGCCCAGAATTCCTTCAAAAATAGTCTGTAGATTTCACATTGACCACGATATTGTCCTGTCTTTCTTTCACCTTGATACAACCTCAAAAGGCGAGATGTGTATAATCTGGATGTGGTGAGATCTTTTAAAATATATCGGGATATGGAATTAGGAAAATCTGACTATTCATTATCCCTTTTAGTCATAATAAGAGGGTAACTGCCTCTGTTTCCACCATTACAAGATGGATTATGTCTACTATTTTAAAGTGCCTACAGAGCTGCGGGAAGTCTATTCCAGAAGGCATTAAAGCTCAGTCCACAAGGGCTGACTCAACATTATTGAGGGTCTTTGTCTGGGCTTTTTCAATATATTGGTTGGTTTGTTGTTGTTTGTCAACATAGGTTATACTGACATAGATTAGCCAGGAAACTATGATTTAAAACATCATCCATGCCATTATCACAGGTTCCCACCCCTATTGTTTTAAAGAGAGCGGTGATTACTTTTACACTTTTCTTAATTGCAATTTGAATATTCCCATTCTTATCAGATGAGAGTGTGGAGCTAAACCTCAGAGGATAAAGCAGGAAGTTCTCAAGCCCTGCAGGCCAATGCTGTGGCAATAAGGAAGACAATCTTCTATAGGTGATGCTGATATGGATGATAGCCTGGAAAAAAAATTACGGTAAGTATTTAAAAAAAATGTTTTATTTTCCTGGTTTGAGCTGATAAGGTGTCAGTCCATTGTGCAGTGGGAAGTGTTTGAATGAAGAGGACTTCACAGAGCATGCATTGTTAGCGATGCTCCTGAAATAACCTCAATGTATACAAAGCACAGAGAAAGATATTCTTGGTCTTGTAAAACATGTGGTTTCAAATCTTTCAAAGCTACTTAGAAACACCAGTTTTGATTAAACAACTAAGAGTATGTCCCACCATCTGACCAAATTTGCCATGTGTTCACACTTTGCTCTGCATCCCAATAGCAATGGACCCCAACCTAATTTATAATTAAGTATACGAAGTGGGTTAGTTACATTACTGCTTAATGCATTCATCTACATTTTTCTCTTTTGTTTGTTTATTTATTTTGCTTTTAGAATATTTACCTATATTAACACATTGTACATATTTATTTGCCTTATACAGTTGGTATAAACTTGACTTTTCAATATGGAATATACTTGGTTATACATTTGCTTGCAATTTTGCTGTTTAAAATAATTTTCGGGGGGGGAGAGAAGGCGCCTAAGCCCTGAGCTCCGACCGCGGCAGAGCACAATCCACAGCCATCAAGGCAAAATAACAGAATGGTGAACAAAAAATAAGGACCTTGCTACCCCCCGAGACCTTAAGCATACCCCCGGCAACAGATACCGGCCGTTGAGCAAATTCTTCCCGGAGCAATCCGGCAGAGAAACGGAGGGCGGTTGATACAACATGGCGGACCGCACACAATCTCCAACAGCATCACAGGCAAGCTACTCAGCCTCAGAAACACTCCCAGACATTGACATCAAGGAGGTACTAAGCAGACTATCCTCCAGAGACGACATAGCCACAATGCTTTTAAACCTGGACAAATCGATTCAGGCTAAAATAACTAAATTGGGTTCCGGCCTGAGTTCCCTGGATGAGAGAGTGAAACAGTTTGAATCCTCCTCTGCGGCCTGCAGCCCTCAGTTACCACTGATGCAGCAACAAATCGGTAAGCACACATCAACACTTAATATGCTGCACAGGGGACGGAGGAATAACATTAGGGTAAGGGGGCTCCCTGAATCCAACACAAACCAGGAAAATGTATCACAACTACTGACCAAGCTGTTTAACTCCATCCTTGTAGGAGAAAACAAGGGTTTGGCTGCACTCACCTAAACATACTTAAATGGGGTGCGGCTGGGGGCCAATAAGTACAGTAAAAATGAAAATCCAGCGCACTCACTTATCTACTAAACAGTTGTTTTAGTGCTGAACAATTTTGTTAGTTTTATTAAAAACCCCTAATCTAGGCAAAAAATAATGGGGGTTTAGTTACAGTATATGATCATACATTGCATAAGCCTGCCACAACACCAATGTACCCCATCTTTGACAGGTCCTACTCTGTCTGCTAAATGAGCTACTCACTTGGGGAAATCCTTCCATCTCGAGTTCCCTTTGCCCTCACCGCACACCACAATGGAGTGACAGCCACCATCACTACCGCAGAAAATGCACCAACATTCATCCAAGCACTGGATCTACAAGATGTCCCTATACAGGACTGGTACGGCGAGATGGGGGACTACATGAATGCTCCCCAACCACAATGTAGAAGAGAACACAGGAGACGTAACACCAACGAAAACGGCATCCCACACTTCACAAGCCAAGCGGCAAGGACAAGGACAATCAGACTGGATCTAATCAGATCTCCATAACACTGCTGCAACATCGCAGCGCACGTTGTACTTAATAGTACTTACTACCAACCGCTTGCATGAACTCGCTTAGTATCCTTTATATGTTGGGTTTCAGTTTTTAAGGGACCTACATGCTTAAATATTTTTTACAAAAAAATAAATAAATGAATTGTAATATACCTTTTAAGTTGCAACTTTAAACCCTCCCCCCACCACCACTACCACTACCACTACCACTACCACCACCACTGATATACCAATGGTACACAGAGCCGCGATACTAAAAATATACTAAGCTCTGCAGGTCACACGAGCTCTAGTGATCACCGATCCTCCCCCCTACTTGACCCTGACACCGGTGGCCGCCGGACTTTGCGCTCCTAGGAGCCGTGCCAAATTCATTACACCTAGGGACCAGGATTCCTATTCTATACCCCTGAGGTAGACATGAATCTCCAACCCGTGCCAACAGGTGCGAAGGCGGAATGTGCACAGTGATTGCATATCTAATATTACATTCTGTTATTTTGCATACTATACTAACTATTGTTTGTTTAATTTTGTTTATTCTATACCTCAGGTTATAAAAGATACTTACCACACAGCGGGACCCACGACTCGGGCCCAACCATGCTGTAAATAATCTCGAGATACTTCACCTCACACGTTGGTCTCATTAAGGCATATATCACTGATTGTTAAACCACTCTGTGTACGATATGTCTTCCCATGTAGTGTCATTGAATGTGAGGGGTCTGAACATACCGTAGAGGTGGCGCCTCCTGCTAGCAGACATGAAGAGGAAGGGCGTAGACGTCATGGTGTTACAGGAAACTCACTTCTTGAAAGGCAAGGTGCCGTCTCTCAGGGATCGCAGGTACCCGATGGGCTTTTTTGGGCACTATGAGGGAGGCAGGGCAAGGGGGGTAGCCATTCTGTTCGCAGCTCATGTACCCTTCGTCCCAGGGGACCAAATGCCAGATCCACAGGGCAGGTACCTGTTTGTTAAGGGGACTATAGGCTCACAGGCATACACCTTCGCCTCTCTATATGCCCCCAACACCAAACAGGGCACATTCTTAAAACGTACCCTAGCTAAGCTAACAAGCTATACGACTGGAATCCTTGTATGCGGAGGGGACTTTAACATCCCAGTAGACACCCCCCTACAGCGACCCAACCGCAATTCTGTACACAGAAAAATATGTCTACAATCCTTCCATTCGAATTAACTCATGGACTGTTGGAGATACGCTAACCCCTCCACTAATGAATTTACCTTCTACTCCCATCCCAACAGAACATATGCACGCTTAGATTCGATATACATACCCCATAGATTCCTACCTTTGATCTATAAATCATACATAGGACCGATTACCTGGACTGGTCACGCTTCGGTTCATGTCGTTATGAAACTACTTAATGTGGCCCTCCGCACATGGAACTGGAGACTAAATGACTCTCTACTAGACAACCAACAGACCAAAATCTAATTACAGGAACTGATCCTAAACTACTTCCATGAGAACCCCTCCACAGACACCACACCACAGAATACCTGGGAGGCACACAAAAGTGTAATGAGAGGACATTTCATTCAAATAGGGACTAGGATTAAAAAAGAAAGAGAGTCCAAAATCCAAGCCCTTGTAGCAAAAATACAGGCACTGGAGAGTGCACACAGGGTCGATGGGGACACCGACACTCTAAAGGAGCTCACACGTATGAGAGAAAAGCTCTCTATGCTCCTTCATCACAAGGCCAAGAGAGCCCTGACGCTCACACAGCACTCTTTTTATGCTCAAACAAATATTTTTATACTCAAACAAATATAAAATATTCGCCCCACAAATGGGCCCACACATGCTGACAACATTTAACTCACTGAAGTCAGGAACCACATTTAGCCCCCAAGCTTTGGAAGCCACAATCACCCTGATCCCGAAACCAGCCAAGGACCACACCAGATGCAGCAATTATAGACCAATTTCCCTCATTAACGACGTAAAAATCTTCTTCCGCATGCTAGCCAACAGACTAAAACCCCTACTACCAAGGTTAACACACACAGAGCAAGCAGGCTTCACACCCACTAGGGAAGCAAAGGACAACACCATCAAAATAATACCATCAAAATAATAAATATCATACATAAATTGGACCCAAAAAACCCCAACACTACTAATCAGCATAGACGCTGAAAAGGCATTCGACCGGGTGGACTGGACCCTACTCTTTCAAGTGCTGAAGGAAATAGGGTTTAGTGACCAGTGGGTGACGTGGGTCGGGGCATTATATTCTCAACCACAGGCTAGGGTGCAGGTCAACGGCACTTACTCTGACCCCTTGCCCATTCTTAACGGCACGAGGCAGGGATGTCCCCTCTCCCCTCTATTGTTTGTCCTGGCCCTAGAACCATTCCTTAATGCAGTTAGATCCAATGACAACATACACAGCGTTCGAGGCACCCACAACCATTACAAGATCTCGGCTTATGCCGATGACCTCCTATGCACCATAACTGACCCAATGACCTCCATGCCCCACCTTCTATCTGAATTATCAAATTATTCAAACATATCCAACTTTAAGGTGACCTACGATAAAAGTGAGATACTTCCGATAGCACTAACAGACCGAACGCTCACAGAAATCAAAACAACATTTCCCTTCAAAATTGTCCAACAACACATTAAATATCTAGGGATAAAAATCACCTCAAATCTCCTAGACACATACACCCTAAACTTTACGCCATTACTCCAAGCTCTTAAGAGAGACACCGCAAGATGGAACAAACCACATTTCTCCTGGGTGGGCAGGATAAACATTATAAAAATGAACGCCCTTGCCCGCCTACTTTACCTGTACCAGACACTGCCCATAGGGGTGCCCACCTCGTTCTTCACCTCCGTGCGGAAGATATTCACTGACTTCATATGGTGTGGTCACAGACCCAGGTTGTCATTCAGTATCATGACCAGGCCTAAAGACAAGGGGGGATTGGGAATGCCCAACCCCTTCTAATACATATTCTATCAACCCAGTTCACTAGAATACGGGAGTGGTGCCATGGGGATAGCTGCAAGCGGTGGAAAACACTGGAACAAGAATGAGTGGAGGTCCCGCTGGCCTCCATACCGTGGCAGACGGGGGCGATATCTACTATCTGCCCTAGACCACACCCCACAAAAAGCCCTCTGATACAACTTTGGAGGAAATTTGCCCGAAAAGCATTACCTAATAGGCTCAAACTCCCCGCTACTGCCCATAATCCAGCATTCCCGCCTGGCATGCGTGGGACCATATGGCCCAAGCCCACGCTACTCCCCTATGTGACCAATAGGGGAGCTATGCCCCCGAGAGAAGCCTACATTCATGGACATGTTCTAACGTGTGCACCCTAAAGCACAAACACACGCCGCGTGTATATGTATGTATGTATATATAACACTGCTGTGTGTGTGTGTGCTGCTAGTGTGCTGTGTGAGGGTGCTGTTTGCGTGTGTGTTTGTTAGGGTCCTGTTAGTGTGCTGTTTGTGTGTGAGTGTGCTGTGTGTGTGTTTGTGCGGGGGCTTTTAGTGTGCTGTTTGTGAGGGGGCTGTTAGGGTGCTGTGTTTGTGGGGGTGCTGGGTGTGTGGGTGCTGTATGTGTGTGGGTGCTGTATGTGTGTGGGTGCTGTGTGTGTGGGTGCTGTGTGTGTGTGTGTGCGTGCGTGCGTGCGTGCGTGCGTGCGCGCCCGGGTGCTGTATGTGTGCTGTATGTGTGCTGTATGTGTGTAGGTGCTGTATGTTTTGGTGATTGTGATGGTGGGGGTAGATTACTTAATATCCCCCCTCTCTCCTTACCTTATGTAGGGAGGGGGATCCTTGTTCCTGCTGCCATCCCTGGTGGTCCAGTGGAGTTGGGGGCAGATTACTTAATATCCCCCCTCCCTTCTTACCTTATGTAGGGACTGGGAGGGGGGATCCTTGTTCCTGCTGCCATCCCTGGTGGTCCAGTGGAGAGTGAACTCTAGCCACGGCTATGCTCAGATCTCGCGAGAGGAACACGGCGGAGCTGCTGGCTAGAGCTCTCCGGGTCCTCTCCTGCCTCCCTCCATGCTGCAGTGGACCGGTGGGGAGGGAGGTTTAGAGCAGAGCCGGCGCTCAGATAGCGCCCGCTCTGCATCAGCTGACAGGGGAGATACTGAGATCTCCTCTGCCGGTCTCAATCCATAGGCGTGCCTCGGGGATTAGGGTGTGCCCAGACACACCCCGTGCACTCGCCTATGGCAGATGGTATGGGACACCCACGCAGTTACACTGTATCTATCAGCAGGTCCCAGATGTTTGTTGGAGATGTGGAGGGAACAGAGGCACCTACTTGCATATATGGTGGGAATGTGCGGTACTGCGTCCATACTGGGACACCATAATAACAGTGATAACCACCTTGGCCACGATACCGAAACCACCCTCCTTTTCGGAAATATTACTACACCTGTCCCCAAGACCTATTAAGGCTTATCACAACTCTCTAGAATTCTATCTGTGGACAGCAGCCAAAGCCCTTATTACCAAGTACTGGAACCAACAGACCCCACCCCCAATAGAGGAATGGTTCGCTAGAGTAGAACGTATCAGAGCTATGGAGGAGATCGGGTACTCCCTCTCCAGTCACACAACCAGATACCCAGACATATGGGACCCATGGATCCCACCGTTATAGAGCTCAAACTGCTCTGGCCGGAACCTAGGGTCATACCTGACCCCATGCTAATACAGAACCGGTGGCGATAGGGCGGGCCTGCAATGACCCAGATGCAGGGTACACCGCCACAGACGCAATACCTGAACAATTCCCACAGAAGGGTAATAGGGATAAATATGACTGCCACTGGGAACAGTGCTGTACCTCGGCCACACAACTGACGTACTAGTGCACAACTAACTAAATAAAAGAGAGGGTCTACCCTCACTATAACGCACCAGACGCACACACGTACCACACCTACATGTGTTATGATTACGAAAAGCAGTGGTTATAAATGTTTCAATTATTACTGGTACGTATGGCTAAATGGTAGCCATGTCAAACTTTTTGTTAATGCAAAACGTAAATGATATATCCCCAAAGGTAAACCTAACCATTTTACACTCGGAGACACCATGTATCTCCCCTAACACCGAGACCGTGCTGGGAACATTGTATTTGAATGTTAATACAATAGTACACCCCTTACAGAATTCATGTTTCAACAATTGCATGTAATCACGTATAAAGAAAAGAGTTACTGGAATATAACATTGTTAAAAAGCAACAATTTGAAACTGTGCATGTATTGTAGACTACCACATTGTCACAAATGTTATAAATATGTTTGAGGATTGCCGTCGGGGTACCTCACGCAAGTATGTTATTTTATTATTGATATGCATGACAAAAATAAAGACAAAAAAAAAAAAATAATAATAATAATAATAATATTAATAATAATAATTTTCATTATTGTTTAAAAACTCCATCAATACTGACCTGTTATTCCCTTACACTGGACTTTTAATTAATAATAAAAAAAAACAGTATCCTGTTTCCTGCATCCTATGTTATCCCCCCAGGTCTGTTTTTGAGGTCCTGTTTTCAAATGATTCATGTCCTGTCTACTTACAAGGATTGGCACAGCCTCTGGCTGCGATCGTGCAAATCATTTGCCTACTGTCAACTCCACCTCGCTAGACAAACTCAGAGGCAGGTGATGAGGTACTGGATTTCAAAATGTCAACATGTTGTCAAGCTGGTTATATGTACACAAGGAGGTTCTGATGGTTCTTGGATGAACAGCCACCTAGATGCCTGTAGTAATATCATCCAGTGGATGGCGTTCTTATATCAAGGTCTGTAAATAACGTGAATAGTGTTTTAAGTAGCAAAGAACTACCACAGGTTATGCTGTCGACTTGTCCTCCAGTAAAGCAGTCATGTAGTCACTTATTTGTACACTAAGGCCACAAAAAATTTCAAATTTGCATTAAGGCAAAAAAAAAAAAAAAAAAAGGACCAAGTGGGGTGTAGATGAGTTTGTTTAAGCACATAGTGAATCAAAATTGCAGTAAAGTAAAGGGAAATAATGACTTGCCAGAAAGAGACTCCACCAATCACAAGCTTCTAATTCTGATCTATCACTTGTGTTCTTAGTACATAAACCCCTGTCCAGCAGTTTATTTTATTTATTACTTTCATTTATAAAGCGCCAACATATTTCGCAGCTCTGCAAAATGGGATAAGTGGAGTACAAACTGCAGCAGTTATTAAACAAAATTTGTATAGTTCTTAAAGCAGCACTGTCCCCCTCTATCCTCTCAGTTATTGTGGTCTGATATAATGTGTCAATATGGGTGAGCAGTTAAAATGATTAAATGATGTTAAGGAATCAGAAGCAATAAAATAAGTATTTGAGATTGTCCAGGCATTAGACCACCTCTCAAGGCCTCCAGCCTGCCATCTTCAGCCTCATCTTATCCCTTCTACTCACTACCATATCCAGCCATATCTTATCCCCACTACTTATTGCCATATCTTATCCCCACTACTTACTGCCATATCCAGCCATATCTTATCCCCACTACTTACTGCCATATCCAGCCATATCTTATCCCCACTACTTATTGCCATATCCAGCCATATCTTATCCCCACTACTTATTGCCATATCCAGCCATATCTTATCCCCACTACTTACTGCCATATCCAGCCATATCTTATCCCCACTACTTACTGCCATATCCAGCCATGTCTGATCCCCACTACTTACTGCCATATCCAACCATATATTATCCCCACTACTCACTGCCATATTCAGCCTTATTGCATTCCCACTACTCACCGCCATATTCAGCAATATTATCCCTACTACTCACTGCCATATCCAGCCTTATTGCATTCCCACTACTCACTGCCATATCCAGCCATATCTTATCCCCACTACTTACTGCCATATCCAGCCATATATTATCCCTACTACTCACTGCCATATTCAGCCATATATTATCTCTACTACTCACTGCCATATCCAGCTATATCTTATCCCCACTACTTACTGCCATATCCAGCCATATCCTATCCCCACTACTCACTGCCATATTCAGCCTTATTTCATTCCCACTACTCACTGCCATATCCAGCCTTATTGCATTCCCACTACTCACTGCCATATCCAGCCATATCTTATCCCCACTACTTACTGCCATCTTCAGCCTCATCTTATCCCTACTACTCACTGCCATATCCAGCCATATCTTATCCCCATTACTCACTGCCACATTCAGCCATATTTTATCCCCACTACTCACTGTCATATTCAGCCATATCGTAAACCCACTATTCACTACCATATCCAGCCATATCTTATCCCCATTATTCACTGTCGAATGCAGCCGTTTCTTATCTCCACTACTCACTGCCATATGCAGACGTATCTTATCCCCATTATTCACTGCCATATTCAACCATATCTCACCCCCACTATGCACTGCCATATCCATCCATATCTGAGCCCCCACAACGCACTGCCATATCTTATCCCCAATACTCACTGCCATATTCAGCTGTATTTTATCCCCACTGCTCACTGCAATATTGTGCCATATTTTATCACTACTACTCATTACCATATTCAGCCCACTACTTTCAGTGCTATCTTGGCCACCCAGCCGTAGGGTTATTTCATCACTGCCACGTTATCCATACCGTTATCCAAGCCTTTTTTCCAATTCTCTAGCACATATGAATCCTTGCCAATGGGGAATACATATTGAGGATAATTTAATTCACAATCACAGCCTCCTGAACCCCCCTCCCCCTCTCAATATATTATTATTATTATTATTATTATTATTATGATATTTATAGAGCGCCGTCAAATTCCGCAGCGCTTTACAATGGGTGGACGAACAGACATGTAGTTGTAACCAGACAATTTGGACACACAGGAACAGAGGGGTTGAGGGCCCTGCTCAATGAGCTTACATGCTAGAGGGAGTGGGGTAAAATGACACAAAAAGGTAAGGATAGTATTAGACTAATGACAGTTGCAGAAGAGGAATCAGTCAGGAACGGTGCAGCCCTCGAGAAATCTTGAAGGCGAGCTTCAGAGGTGGGAGTACGGACAGAAGATAGACGTAAGTCTTCAGCAGATCGTAAAGGCCTAGACGGGACATACTTGTGTATAAGGGAGGATAGATAGGTGGGAGCAGCATTATGTAGAGATTTGAAAGCAAGAACCAGAATTTTAAATTGATCTCTATATTTTATAGGAAGCCAATGTAGGGACTGACAGAAGGGTGAGGCATAGGAGGTGCGGGCGGACAGGAAGATGAGCCTCGCCGCCGCATTCATTATGGACTGTAACGGCGCAAGTTGGGAGCACGTAAGACCACTGAGAAGCGGATTACAGTAGTCAAGGCGAGAAAGGACAGTGGAATGGACCAACACCTTAGTTGCATCTGGCGTTAAGTAGGGGCTGATGCGCGCAATGTTTTTGAGATGGAAATGACAGGATTTGGCGATAGATTGAACATGAGGCTTGAAGGAGAGGTCAGAGTCAAAGAGAACACCTAGGCAGCGAGCCTGCGTGGTGGAGCTGATGGTAGCACCGTTGACTTGGAGGGAGACAGACACAGGAGTAACAACACTTGAGGGAGGAAAGACCCGAATTTCAGTTTTGGTCAAATTTAGTTTAAGGAAGTGGGCAGCCATCCAGTTAGAAACAGCAGAGAGGCAGAGGCACTAGTCAAGAGGGATGGGGAGAGATCAGGAGAGGACAGGTAGATTTGCGTGTCATCTGCATAGAAATGATATTGGAAGCCAAAGGAGCTAATGAGTTTACCAAGGGAGGCAGTATAGATGGAGAACAGTAGGGGACCAAGGACTGAACCTTGGAGGACACCAACAGAGAGGAGTTGGGGAGAAGAAGCAGAGCCAGAGAAAGAAACACTGAAAGAGCGCTGGGAGAGGTAGGAGGAGCACCAGGAGAGAGCAGTATCTTGTAGACCGATATTGCGGAGGATGAGAAGAAGCTATTGATGATCAACAGTGTCAAAAGCCACAGACAGGTCAAGGAGAATTAGGATAGAGTAGTGACCACGAGATTTTGCAGCGAGTAGATCATTGGATACTTTGGTCAGTGCCGTTTCCACAGAGTGCTTAGCGCGGAAACCAGACTGAAGCGGGTCTAGCAGAGAGTTGGACTCGAGGAAGTCTGTCAATCTAGCATACACAATTTTTTCAAGGATCTTGAATGCAAAAGGCAGTAGCGAGATAGGACGATAGTTGGATGGGGAGTTAGGGTCAAGATTGGGCTTCTTTAGAATTGGGGTTACAGTTGCATGTTTGAAGGGCAATGGAAATATACCAGAGGAGAGAGAGAGCTTGGGAATTTTAGTGAGAGGTGGAGAAAGAGAAGAAGACAGAGTACGGATGAGGTGCGAGGGAATTGGATCTAGGGAGCAGGTGGTGGGGCGGGAGGACTGGAGCAGAGCAGAAACCTCTTCCAATGTAGCGGGTGCGAATGAACATAGAACAGCAGAGGGAGTGAAGTTAGGGGAAGTATTGTAAAGGGAAGAAGAAAGATGAGATATCTCTTCTCTGATTGTAGAGAAAATGTGGTTTGGTAGTTGATGGCATATACATTAGGCCTGAGTTACAGAACAGCAGCCTGAGGTTTGAGAGTTAAATGTCCCAGGGAGAGAGGTTAGGTTTGCAAGATGCATTACTGGTACTCCGCAAACCACGGTATGGGTTCCTGGGGGCGGCGCACTTGGAGAGCAGGGTGGGCCCGTGCTCCAATAGCACCAGCTGCTAAGTAACAGTCGGACCAGAACTTTTATTTTGCTTAATAGTTTCACTTGTGCCTAATTGCACCTCACCTGTATCTGATCAATTAGCTAGCAGGCTTTTAAAAAGAAGGGATCAGCATGCTTCAGAGTGAGGAGGAAAAGTCAGAGGAATGGTGCCTTGCAGGTATACTTTTTGTAAATTGGCAAGTGGGAAAGCCACCCAATTCCAGGTAGTAAGTGCTCAAGCAAGAGCAAGGAATTTTGTTTTGTTTATTTTTCATTTTTGAAACACCTGTGTATATATTTCACCGAATAAAGCTGAAAAACTGAGCTGGATGTGTCCTGGACTTTCATTACCCTAGAAGGCTGTGGTTACAAGATCTGTGACAAAACCCTACCTGGAAAAGAGGTGGTGTGTTACATATGGTGGAGAATGTGGGCAACCGCGTGAGTCTGAAGGTAAAAGTCTTTTAAAGCTCAACATGGAGGATGTTATCAAGGCTCTGATCCAATCCACCTCTGTGCAACAGGAGAGCTGCAGAGAACAGTGCAGCCCTGCAGCAATTGGTGCTGGCCCAAGCAGGGTGTGCTAAAAACCTGGCCAAAACACAGATAGAGTGC